TCATAGTGAAAATACTATTTACAGTTGTCATTTCATTTTTTCACTGCATTTTGACTATGGAAACAGTGACTGAATTGAGAGAAGCCATTGAACATGAACGCACCCAAATACGAAAGGAAATGTTTCGTGGTATGTACTATTCCATTGCTTCGCGTTGTCAGCAGTGTCATGACAAAAATGAACGTCAGTTTGAGAACATTCAGTGGAATAGACAATAAAATAATACTTGTAAATATTTATATTTTTTAATAATAAATCGTGATAGATATCAATTTTACAACTATGCAGAATGGTAAACATTTTTTGGGACACCCTGTATATTGCCGGCAAAACCAAGAGAAACTGGGGTAGGCGTTTCGAGTTCATCTGCAGCCAGCTGCTAGTCATACCGCTGTAAATTTAACAGGAGGGATTCGTTCATAATTATACATAAGAACTTAGAAAGGCCCGTTATCATCCGCAATTAGCACAGGCTGGTGAGTGTCACTTTGATGCAGGGTTTAGTTAGCGACTGTTCCGAAGGTATAATGCTGCAATTTTCTATATTTGTTAATCAGAATCTAGAAAATATTACCCATTTGATAGTACCATCACACGTCTCCAAAACTCGAATTTTACTCTATCATCATCACCTGTTACGTTTGCTAAACCGTAACCTTAATTTCGGAAGGGAATTTACTAATTTTACTCACTAAGTGCGGACTGCTGGCCAACATTATAGGCCTGTAGAATTACTAAGTATTTTAGGCGAAATACATACATTTGCGGTTGGCTAGGCTAAAAAAAAGCATTTTTGTCACCTTTTGCTTAAAGGATCACTAATTTTAGGACACACTAAACGTTTAAGAAACGTGGAAAGTTTAAAAGTCGATTGCGTTTTGCGACGCAGAGCGATGAGGTAGGTGTATTTCGTGGTGTGCAGAAAGTGAAACCTGAATAAGCGCGACGGGGTAGGAAATCGATAAATGGACACCCCCCCCAGAGCACCATTGACACTCAGTAATGGTCATCTTCTTAAACTAATACGCCGCGGCTGCTAAACGAGTTACAAACGAGGACCACGTATCTACCCATTGTATTCGCCTTAGCCGAACACCAGGACAGTAGAACTGTGCCCAATAAAAACGAAATGACGTATAAACGCCTTTAGGATTCGGAGGCCTCGGTTGACTGAAATATGTAAGCATCGTATGCCAGCTGTGGCTATGCACGTATTACTACGAACAATCCCTTACTTCCTTTGACAAAATCGATTGGAGGGCGTGCAGTATGAAACTCATGTTGGTCAAAGATAGTTCCTCTTGCAGGTTTCCAGGATCAGCCTACTACGAGATGTCAGGTGAGCTAACATGATCCCCTTCCTTCAGTCCTGGTTTTTTAATCAAACGTCTGCGTCTGTCGCCTGCTATACTGGACAAAAATGTGATTATATGATCAGCAAAGGAAGACAGAAGTGATAGGACTTTGTTTAGCACTGGTAGCAGGTATTCTACGTGTCAAAAATCAAATCAATAGCCCCAACAGTGTGGTTTTGTTTCACGTAATCTGTCCAGCAACAAACTTAGCTAGCTGAGAATAAAAAACGCATTTTCTAGCGGTCGGTGTTTCATATTTCTGTGCAATGAAAGTGAATCCAGTAAAACTCAGTCCATACGCATTTTTCAGATTCGATCGATTCTTCTTTCAGCATCTTTCTCGTTCGTTTGATTTCCTCTGCGTCAGCACACAGCAACACAATTCAGTACGTATAACAGCCATTTTCATCACACTACGTCTAGCTCTGTTACATTTTATGGATGTCCTACATTTTAAATATGGAATGTTTTAAACCCTGCACTGAAAGGAAATTTTTTAAAGTTCATAACAGATTGGAGATAGAGAACAAATGTATAAACTTTACATACCGATGGACAACTCCATTTTTGTACAACACCTAAAAAAACGTTTAATTGCATCTTCTCAATAAACTTTTTGACCTAGAATTGCCGTCCACGTCTTTTTTATATGAGAAACTAAGTACATGCGAATACGTATTCGTTTATGCACCAAACTTGAATGCTCATCGTCGCAGTTTAGGCTTACTAAAAATGGCGATGCGATGTGATGCGATGTGATGCATATAATAAGATAGCCCACGGCCTTAAAGGTTTACTTGTACCTACAAAACCGAACGAGGAAGAAGCCCCATCGCATAGATTCTTGGATTCCGTGGCCGAACTACGCGATCTTGTTGAATGCCACGTCATAGCCACGTC